AAGGGCATACTCGCTCAAGGACTACTGTCCCAGAATATGGTGATGATTATGGCTAGGTATTCTGCTTATGGCTATGTATTTTAAAAAGTCTAGGTATTCCGCAGGATTATGGCTATGTATTTTTACAACCGGCACATCACCGTCTCACATCATGAGTGAACCCCGCCGAGTGTTGGTTCCCACCACCCCCTGAGCCAGACTGTTTAGCACTTCTTGAAGGTGCTCACCCAAACACACAGAAAGTACTCAGAAAAAAAGTGAGGAAAGCGAGGAAAGCAGACAGACAAAAACATGAAGAAAAGGCGTACATAAATGATAAAACTGATTTATTTATTTATTTATTTATTTTGTGCGTGTGTCTGACAAAACTCGTTTTCTGCATCGATGTTTTTAACTTTTTGTTGGTACGGTCAGCTTACAATTTGTGTGTGTGTGCTTCAATTGACCTTTCCCGTGCAGGCAAACGAGTTCTCGACATCAGATGAAATCGCTCCACAGGTGAGCACCGCTACCCTGGCCACGTATTATTGGCAAATGCGATAATGGGATTCAACGATTAACAATTATTGTCGTTTAACCACCAGTTCACACAAACCTGTGCGAGGTCAGATACAGACGAGCAGCGTCAGCATGCAAATGGAATTTAATGGATATATACTTGCATGAGGATTTTTGGGGACGAAGTTGTCTATGCGAGTCCCGTCAGATTCATCCACGCAATTGAGGTTAGATACATTGAGGAAAATGGTAGTGAGAGTATGCCCGGAGTGGTGGTTCGAGGCCCTGTCCACGTGTTGCCCTTGATGTTGTGTTTCCACAATTTTTTGTTTTTTATTTTTGTCTTTTTGCCATAGACGGTTTTTTTTTTGTTTGTTTTTTTTCCGTTTGTTTTGTTTTGTCTATGCCAACCCTGTGTTCACATCGTGAGAACGGCCAGCAGCGAAGAAATCATTCAAATGCCAACCCTGTGTTCACATCGTGAGAACGGCCAGCAGCGAAGAAATCATTCAAATCCAACGGAAGAAAAAACAAACATCGTTTTATACCTCTTTTAACTTCCTCCTTCAACCCCTTCATTATCTCTCAAACCACATTTCAGATACCAGCTTGAATCCACTGTCCCTTTTTTCCCATCGTGATTCGAACTCAGGTCTATTTATCAACAGTTCTATGAGTGTACTATTAAGCCGCATGGGCTGTGTGCTCTTGTTCTTCTGCATGCTGTTCTTATATGATTTCTTTGCATCGTGTGTGGTGTGTTTCTGTTTTGTTTTGTTTTTTCGGTGTGTGTGTGTGTGTGTGTGTGTGTGCGTGTTTCATTGGTGTTGCACCAGGTGGAAACCTATTTAAAGAGGTTCAAATGCATACCAGCGTTTACGGCGAATCTGACAATGGAACAATTTAATAAGCACACGATGGGATAAGCTTCAGAGGAGGGAGGACGAGGATGTGGCGTGCACTGTACCTAGGAGATAATGCTATCAATGATTGTTACCTGGCTCTCGTAGCGAATACTTGGGCTTTTTTTTCATGTTAGATCCTTTCCACAATCAGACAATCGGATGGAGGTCGGCAGAGCATTTGCGAGTTGTTCTTGAGAGGGGGACCATTGACCTCCTCCTCCTCCCCCCCCCCCCCCCCCCCCCCCCCCCCCCCCCTCTCTCTCTCTCTCTCTCTCTCTCTCTCTCTCTCTCTCTCTCTCTCTCTCTCTCTCTCTCTCTCTCTGTGTGTGTGTGTGTGTGTGTGTGTGTGTGTGTGTGTGTGTGTGTGTGTGTGTGTGATGATGTGCTCGTCTCTTCTCTAGGAGTGCTGTTTTGACATGTTGCCGATCTTGGAAGTTGAAATGCATTTCGGCTGTTTTCCCCAAGCCGCTTGTCATCAACTTCTCGGATGTGATTCTAGAAATGTGCGTTCAACGGCATTGGATTTTTCGGGATTTCCTTGTCGCTGGTTTGTCAACAATGCATCGAAAATTGGAAAAAAAAAAAGGGACCAAAACAAAGAAGAGATATTCGAAGTCTGTTGTCATCAAAGTTTTTGCAAGGAAAATGAGCGAGAGCGATAGATAGAAAACCAAATTCCAATATCACGTTGAAGACCAGATAGTCGTGTACCACGCAGAAAGCGCAATGCAGTGGGATACAAGCCAAATAAGAGCAGGACAATGAACTCAAATGTCAATGTCTACAGGCTCTCACCACATCAACATAGTATCCAGTGTCACTGGTCTTGATTGACGCTCAGCGCCCAGCCTGTCCTACTCAGCAACTATACTCGCCTACACTACGTATATTCAATAGGAGTCACTTTGAGCTGGAGACCAATGTACGTGACGGCGTGGCCAATGCAGACTGCCAGCATACAGCTGGTATGTGCCTCTTCTCCTCTTCTCGCCCACGTTTCCCCGCAGCATGCGCCCTCTTCCCGAAGACCCCACCATTGCTCACAGGGCCCGCACTCAAACAGCCTGGCTATGGCTGCTAAGTGCCCGCTGCCACCGCAGCCCCCTCGCATCTCTTGCGCCCGTGTGCGTCACTGGCATGCCAGCGCCCAATCAGCCTGTCTGCTTCTGATGTGGCAGCATGGCCACCCAGTCGTTCAAGCCAGAATGCGCCCTAGCGTTGGCGGGCACTTTCCTATATCGGAAGTCCAGCGGATTAGAGCTTTGTACGGGGCGTACCATTCCCTCTCATAGGTGGATTTCACCGACTTCTTTGACGGCATCTTCTTGTTCATATACTCGATCGGCCTCTACGTTCACGGTTTTCGCCTCCTGCTGAGCCAACACTGCACCAATGCCATATTGGCTTGCGTCGAAGGTAACAATGAACGGCTTCTCAGGATGCATGAGAGCAAAAAAAAAAAAAAAAAAAAAAAAAAAGAGAGCATACTTCAATTGACTTGAAGGTTCTCTTGCAAATTGCAATCATCAGTCCATTCCCATGGGGTATCAGGGCATGTCAGGTCCGTCAAGAGGGCAGCCACCATTTTTTTTATTTTTATTTTTTAACTATAACTCTTTACGAAATTCCAGTAGTAGCTAGTCATTCCCAAGGACCTGACCTATGTCACAGACTGAGGTCGTGGTCGGTCCTGAATGCTACCCTCTCTCACATCTTCTGGCCTAACACCTTTTGCGGATACCTCATGACCCAAGTATAGGATCTTTTTTTTTTTTTTTTTTTTAAGGATCTTGGTGGGACCGAACGAACATTTCTCCAACTTGATCTTATACTTGTGCTGTCGCAGGAGTCCTAGCGCAAGGCCAATGTGGTGCGCTTACTCCTCAACAGACTTGCTAAAGATAAGAATGCCGTCGAGGTACACGACGATAAACTTGTCTAAATGGTCACCAGAATATCCTATTCATAGCGTGCTGGAACGTACCTGGCGCAATGCAAAGGCCAAAAGGCATCACCACAAACTTGTACAGACCGTATCTGGTCTGAAAAGTGGTTTTGTGCGGCTCCTTTGATCTAATCACGATAGTCGGACTTCAAGTTTATCTTAGTAAAGTTACTACATCCTTGTACCCTATCCAAAAGGTAGTCAATGTGGGGTAGAGGCTCTGCGTTTTTTAACCACCACTTCCTCCAATCCTGTTTTTATCGACCCTGAATTTTCACTGCGCACCTAGGCCACCAGAGTGCCCTGGGGAATCTTGCCCAGCCGGGCCAAAAAAAAATAAAAAAATAAAATAAAAATGAAAATCACTTTTGAACTTTAAATATGGTACAGAACTTAGATGTGACCCTGAGGCAAAAGTTGTACAGTTTGTTTCTACATAACATAGTTTTTTTTTCGGTTTTTTTTTTTTTTTTTTTTTTTTTTTTTTTTTTTCCGTGATCCTTGTACGGCCGGGCCGTCCGGGAAAATAGGGTGACCCGGGCGGCCCGGCTGGTAGCCTCACACCGAGTTTTGCCGAGCCAGGGTCCCTTTGTATTTTCTTTTTTGGTACTCACGGCAGTTACATCCGAAAAAGAGAGGGGGGGGGGAGAACTTTCGCCGTCATAACCATCATATGCGTTATACGGTGTGCTAGTGAGACTGTGCCCTCGGTGAGGGCTTCTGTACGATGACCATGAAACAAAGAACCAAAAAAAAATAAAAACCTCCTTGAAGTTGTTTTTTTTTTTGTTTTTTTTTTCTGTAATGAATAGCCCCTGCGTAAGCCTCCCTGAAGTTGTTATTGCGGTCCAATACACGATGCTACAGTGCTTGTGTGGGGTTGAGGTGAGTGAGCCAGTTTCCTGCCGTGTGTGGCATTCGCCCTGCCTGTCTGGCAGGGCAACAAAACCAAAAAACAGAAGAGGAATACAACACAGAAATAACTTACTCACCTTCCACACATACTGACCAGATACATTCCTCAAAGCACTAGTGTCACTTCCTCCATGAGGGTCTTCCCCCACATGGATGGATTCAAAATGCTTTGTTTTTCCTTAGTTGTTTTCCTTTTGTTTTGCCTCAATGTGGGCCCGTAGGTCTCAATGTTTCCTTTCTTTTTTCTTTCCACCCGAGCCTTCCCCAAACCCTCGAAAAATGCGGTGTGATGTGTATTCCCGTTTTTCCCAACACTGAGAAAGGTAGTTGTGGTTTAATGGTGATGGCATTGAGGCCTGTATAGTAATTGCATATCCTTAGTGATCTCTTTTTTTTGGATTGAATAGAAGTGGTGATCCGTACGGAGATGTGCGGCCCTTCTCTATGAGGTCTTTCAGTTGCCGCCGAAATTCGTCCAACTCTATCGGAGCCATCCTATATATCCTCCCTTTTGGTGCTTTTCTGTGCTTGGAATGATTTATATGGCACGAATGACCTCCCTTTTTACGGCTGTCAAAGGTTCCTCGAACAGATCAGGGTACTTGGCTACGACAAGTTCGATTTTTAAGGGTGATTTAACAGCCTCCCCTTTCTCAGAGACAAAAGACTAGATATATACTCTCCTTATGGTTTTATTGTCTACCGCGTGGGCGCGGGGAATGCAGCCGTAAGGTAGTCAAATCAATGGGACTAAGAGCTAACACGAGAGAGAGAGAGAGAGAGAGAGAGAGAGAGAGAGAGAGAGAGAGAGAGAGAGTTGTTCCATGTATTGTTATGAGTGTGAGAGAGAGAAAGAAATAGAGAGAGAGGGAAGGGGGGGGCCTACCAGAGAGAGAGAGGGGAGGGGGCGGGGACTACTACTACTACTACTACTACTACTACTACTACTACGAGAGAGAGAGAAAGAGAATTTTGTTCCATTTGTTGATGAGAGAGAGAGAGAGAGAGAGAGAGAGAGAGAGAGAGAGAGAGGCTGAATGGAAAAATTGAAATATGGGTCAAATTGCGGCCGCAATCTATTTCGTAGTTGGTATAAGTTTTTTTAAATATATGTAGCGTTTTTCCTGGAAAGATCACAACAAAATCTACGAGTACTTCAATTTTCAGGTTTTTTCACACATTCTTCTGAGCATGAAAACTCGCTAAATTTGGAGTACTTTTTTAGTTGGCCCAGGCATGGCCGAGTGGCAAAAATGGAAAATGTGTTGAATCGGCGCGTCTATTATTTCGCAGTCTAAATGATTTTTTGTAAATGCTCTATTATTATTTCTGAAAAGAACACGACCTCATTTATGGATTCTCAAAATTTTAAATTTTTGTGCATGTTCGTTTGAGCTCAAAAAATCGTAAAAGTTGTCTCTTGCAAAACATCTGTTTCGTTGTGTCCGACCTCCCTGTTTTTAGGAGATAGGGCTCAACGCCTGGGCCTGACGGCCCTTTTGCAGTTCACATGCCCTCACTTCTTTTTGGGGTTCGCTTCTACCCAAGGACCGGTCCAATGCCCCCCACTTCTTTTTGGGGTCCACTTCGACCCGAGAACTGGTCCTTCGTTTTTCCAAAAGTCCCGGTTCTACTAAAACTAGCTGTAGGTAGTCCGCAATTTTGGTAAGGACCGGTCCCTCAATTTTTTTTGCCCTCTAAGAACCTACTTTGCGACTTGGTCGCTCGCCGCTAAAAATGCGATACCTTGACACAGACACGGAAGCCCATTATATCGCAGCCTAAGGGATGCGAATTTATAATAATTATAGAACTTGGATGTGCACATCCAACCGTAGGAGTCAACTAACCTGTTAGCCTTGTACTTAGCTAGTTTAATGGTCCTCCCATCCAGCAGCACATATAAAAGCATGTTTCAGTCCTAGACAAACTCAGGCTTGGGCAACCTCGAGGTAGTACATACCCAACAATATTTTGAATAGCAAGTTGGCACTAACCAATAACAAAATCTTGTGATTAAGTTCCTCTCCTCCATAGGAGAAGGTGCAGACTACGTCCTTGATGTAGCTATGGATTACCATGTACTCCTTGTTGGCTACGACAGAAGTCACATATCTACTTAGTTGTTGCACTCGGTCCTCTAAGTGCAGCCTCTCAGCATTGTTGCGACTTATGAAGTTTCGCGTGGAACCATTGTCTACGAAGGCACCATACAACCCATTGATTCGACCTCCACTCCTCGATAAAAGTTTTGAGGTACTTCAAGAAGTCTTGAATATTACGTGTGGGTCTCACACGTCTCGTGCAAACTTTGGAAATACCCATCAAAGATTAGAATATTGCAAGCCTGTCCTTCATGTCCTATGTAATTCTGAAAAAAAACATCCTTATAATTTTTTGATATTATGGGTAGGTCGAAGGACCCTTAGGTGACTGTTGGGATTGCAATTTTAGGAAAATTTTGAATATATTCCTGTTACTATAATTTTTATGACGTCCAGATGAACTAGGATTTCATAACTATCGGAACAACGCGCTTTCTTACCTACACGTGAGTTCCTTGAGGTTTTGGGTCAAGGGTTGATTCGCCATATGGTTTGATATCAGGGCACAAACGTGCTCGGTACCCAAGGTTTCGGGTCAAAGGCAGATTCACCATACGGTTTGATTTCAGGATGCGGAGTTGTTCGGTGCTCAAATCTGGTTTCCCCGTATGGTAAAGAAACAAGAGGACTAGTTGGTTATAATTGTGTTGTAAATGAATGCTAGTTACATCCTTCCGTCATGTATGGACAAATGTTTCGTTTGATTATGCGCTTTGCAGTATACATGTCGGGTTTGTGTCCCATTAGAGAATGCTATAAAATTCTTTAATTCAGTTAGTATGTTTTTTACCTCCACGGATGTGACAGGAAACTAT